AGACGCTCCTTGCCAAGCATTCTACCTGAAGGTCCAGTTCACCGTAGGATACTATTTCGTCAGGTTCATGCACGGTAAGTCCAGTTTTTGGTGTGCTGTGAGAATTCGTCATACCCACTGGTGATCCGAGCAGGTACTGAGGCCACTGTTGGACACTCACATAGTCTTCCATCCCTTGATTCAGGGTTTGAAGTTCATGGTTATGAAAATCTGCCGAAGGGTGGTGCCATGCTCGCCTTGTTCCATGGTCCCGCCATCCCTACCGATCTTTTTTTCATGATGTGTCTTTCCTATCTGAGAGATGGACGCTTACTGGGGTCCAGTACCGAAAAGAGCTACTTCGAAAACCCATTTCTCAAACAATTCTGGAAGGTGAAAATTTATAAGAATGAATATCCATCTGATTTTTCGAAACAAGTTTTCTTCGAAGAATGACACGGGCAAGTTCGATTCTCTCACCGAATCTGACCCTTGCAGCTCCTGGGCTGCAGCAGTGGCCGACAAGAATTCTTGGAAGATCTGAAGAATGGTCATCTGAGAGGCGTGGCCCCCGGTGGCGGCCACGAGGCCATGTTCAGCAAAAACTACAAGTGGGTGAATGTTTCACACTCGGAGGAGGACGTAGAGCACTCGAATGTCGAATCGGTTCGAATTCATTCCACTAAGAACTTTCTAGGCTGGTCTGGAGATCCCGATCCGGATTTGCGGAGGTAGCCAAAGAAGCAGGGGTTCCGGTGGTCCCGATGTTCACGAGGAACATCCAGCATGGGTTGCTCCAACTCGAGTTCCTAAGATCAGGTGCAGTATCATTTTTCCAGGCGCATTTCTGATATACGACAAGTCGAGGGAATTCCTCGCCTTAGTGATTGTTAGATCTTGAACTTACTCAGCGTGAATCTTGACGAGAAACAACGATTCCTTCCTCGACTCCCAATGACCTATTTCAGAAACCGTTCAACGATGGTACAGCTCAACGAGATTCCCCATCATCATACCCACATTCTACCTCCCCGTGAAAATGAGAACCTATCTGGGCAAGCCGCTTCTCTGCGGACCTGATGAGGAGCCAGAGGCCTTCGCGCTAAGAGTGAGCTGATTAGCATAGGTCGCTGCTGGACGTAGAGGGATCGAGCTAGTTTCGATCGGTTCCTCTTCCATGTGCTTTCGAGGAATGACGACCAGGGGTCGACGTTTCAGTGTAAGAGGGCGGTTGAGGATCTGCGGGATAAGCACCAACCACCAGAGCAAACCTATTGGGGTGCCCTCATGGAGAGGCTTCGGTAGTCCTGTGATAAACGGCTGAGGATGTTCAGGAGAGTCATGCGTCTTCGTACAAGGTAGGCCACGAATGCATACGTCACCTCGTATCCGCGCTGCTGACCTAGGCGATGTCCGCACAGTTCAGCTCGACAATGCGAAGTTCCGCTAGATGAATTCGCTGCTTCATGGAATACCTGCCCCAGAGAAACTTCCGCTCTCAGATTTATGACTTACCTCTGTCGACTTGTCACTGCCGCGTATGACCGGAGCTCGCGATGAACTCCCTCCAACGAAGAATGATTCAAATGAGGACTTATCGGCCAGCTGAGAGGGCTCGAGACGCTTCTTGCTGACGGCGAAACTCAGCGCCTGGAGCCGGTATCGGAATTCGAGGATGCACGTTCCTTGAACTCGGATCAGGCTTCGAGCCTCTCGATGTGACTCTAGGAAAGAATTATGGTGTGCCGTTATCGTGTTTGGATCAAGCATTGGAAATAAAAGCGGGATCCCCGCGGGGATGATCTTCCTTTTCTTCGTCGGCCATGTGCGCGAACACTGACGACCCCTTTTCTCGATCAAGAATTTCTGAATCTGACAATCCGAATCATTTCACGCGAAAAAGCTTCCCGAATTCAATGATTCCTCGTGG